ATCCAACTCACTAAATACGTAACAATATCTTAAAACCTGTTTCTTTTTTTAATATGTTTTTATTGATTTCAGAGAGAGGAAGGAAGAGGGAGAGAAAGATAGAAACTTCAACGATGACAGAAAATCACTGATTGGCTGCCTCCTTCCCCCCCTGCCCCACTACTGGGGATCAAGCCTGCAACCTGGGCATGTGCCCTTAGCAGAAATTAAACCATGACCTCCTGGTTCATGGGTTGACACAACAACTGAGCCACACCAGCTGGGCAAAATCTATTTTAGTACAGTATAAAAATGTTTACAAATGCAGCTAAGAGAAATAAATGACAGTCTTAACTACTACTGGTAGTAATTCCTCACTTTCCAGGAGTATTTTTAGAATTAGGTTTAAAGAAATTAACTCATCAGTGAAATGAAAGCTACCTATACACAAATTCCTATACTGCCATAGAAAAGAGATTAAAGAACCCCAAAACTGTGGTTATTTTAGAAAACAAATACAAGCTTATACCATTAGCCACAATATCAGAGGGAAAAGTCTAGGAAATCTCAATTTAGGTACAACTAAAAATTCAGTAATTTCAAGTCTGCCTACATTTAATTTTGGACTATTTTTAAAAAATACAGTCCAAAGTTAATATGGACTGCCTCCTGCATGCCCCACAGTGGGGATTGAGCCTGCAACCCATGCATATGCCTGATGGGGAACTGAACCGTGACCTCCTGGTTCCTAGGTCAATGCTCAACCACTGAGCAACGCCGGCTGAACTGGACTTTTTATGTTTTTTGTTTGTTTGTTTGTTTTTAGGGAGAGAGGGAGGGAAAGGAATAGACAAAAACATCGATGAAAGAGAGACATCGATTGGCTGCCTCCTGCAGGCCCCCTACTGGGGATCATACCCAAAACCTTGGCATGTGTCCTGACTGGGAATTGAACCCAGGACCTCTTGGTACATGGGATGATGCTCAATCCACTAAGCCACACCCGCCAGGCTGGACTATTTTTTAAGGAAGGAGTTGCTAAGCAAATTAAAACACAAATAAAAATTGCTAAATTATTAAATCAATTTTAAAATGTTACATGCAAATAACAAATTAGCTCATGCATTCCCTTATTAGAATCCCATATTCCAATGGAAACAAAATGTATGAGGCAAGAATTCACAATGTTGCTAAAACGTATTAGAGCCCTGATGGATATGGCTCAGTTGGTTGAAGTGTCATCCCCTACATCAAGAAGTGGTGGGTTTGATTCCCAGTCAAGTCACATACCTAGGTTGCAGTTCCATCTCTGGTCAGGGTGAGTATGGGAGGCAACTGATCGATATTTCTTTTTCACATCGATGTGTTTTTTTATTCTCTCTGTCCCTCTTCCTCCCTCACTAAAATCAGTGGAAACTCATGTTATCAGGGGAGGATTAAACAAAAATGGAGTAGATAATTTTTCCATCTTCTCTGTTTATTTTGGCTGTGAAAAACCGGTGTAGGAGTCAGGAAAGCTTAATAGGCAGGATACAGGACAAAGATTTATATATTCTCCATGGCTGGCAATCCATATCTCTACCTCTATTAAAAAAAAAATTTTTTTATCTTTATTGTTGAAAGTATTACATATGTCCTCTTTTTTCTCCCATTGATCCCTTCTAGTCCACCACTACCCCCACCCCAGGCCTTCACCACCCTACTGTCTGTGTCTATGGGTTATGCATATACGCATTCAAGTTCTTTGGTTGATCTCCTCCCACCCACCCACCCCCACCTTCCCTCTGTCTCTACTTCTACCTATTTTTAATAAATGTCGAGCCACACAATTAAAATACAACTCAATTTCTCTCCATTATAACTAAAAATATATTTTGGGGAATTCACTTTATCCTTGTCTTCAAATAACATAACTGAAAAAATACTTCGTCTATAATAGGAAATATAAATAGGATTCCTTAATAAGATCTAGCATCCTTCCTAGTTTAGATACTACTTTGCCCTTAACAGCAACAAAAATACAAATGAAAAAGAATATTTAAAATACCGTAATGTATATGAGCCCGAAAAGAAATGAGATATAGTCCAAATCAATAGTCTAAACAAAATGTCACAAAATTTTAAGGTAGCAAGTGTCACTATAACTATGTATGCCTATATTTGCGAGCATTTAAAAACCACAGGTGCTAGTTTTATTCTCCAAGAAATTAAGTTTCTTAATTAAAACTTAAGATACTTCTCTTTTACATCTTAATTCTAACTCAATGACAATATACACCAATCATGTACTCCTTCAAAAATGGTTTGTGTGTCTATCATGTATGTTCCAGGTATCATATGAGTTGCTAGATGTAAGCTGGTAAATAAAACAGGCTTGGTCCTGGCCTCAATAATTTTAACTTGGACTTAAAAGCACTCACATGGAATGCAATCTATATTATAAGAATATGCATTTTATATCTAGGGAAAAGATAAATTACTTTTTAATCCCCACCTGAGGATATGTTTTTATTATTTTTTAGAGAGAGAGAGAGGAAGAGAGGGAAAGAGCATTGATTGGTTGCCTCCTGTACATGCCCCCAACCGGGGATCGAATCTACAAGCTAGGTAATGTGCCCTACTGGGAATCGAACTGGAAACTTTCTGGTGTTTAAGACAACACTCCAACTGGCTGGGGTGGGAAGTTTTAATTGGCTTTTATTGAGTCAAAGAACAAAGAGTAGGTCAATAGTGTGTATAATCCTATTTGATCAAAATAAAATCAAAAACAAACATAAAATTAGAGCCCACAGTCATATCGGCAACAGGCAAAATCCTTTGGACAGATGAGACTTAATGTCAATATTCATAGGTTTACATGTGAAAGCATATTCACTTAGTTCACGTAACTCAATAATATTCCATGATTACCCAAGTTTGTAAATCCTATTCGGTATGCTTTTCTGCAATTGTACCCATGTTTGAAATCTATTAAGAAGTTGAAATTTTTAAAGCTCTACTATAAATTAAAAAAAACAGGTATTGCTCTCTATAAAGGGAAACTTTCAGTACCCAAAACAATTAGTGTCAATAATTTAAAAATATTTATGAGTTAGGGCAATAGACTAAAAACAAAGAACACAACATATTTTAACATTTTCATCACATTTAAAGTCCAAGAGTGTCTCACTTACACATGAGAATCACAAATACAGTCTCAATAAGGAAATTCTTCATGTAAATAAATATATCAAACTAGAGGCCTGGTGTACGACATTCGTGTAGGGGGTGGGGGGGTGGTCCTCAGCCCGGCCTGAGCCCTCTCGCAGTCCGGGACCCCTCGGGGGATGTCCGACTGCCAGGGAATGGGCCTAAGCCGGCAGTCAGACATCCCCTGAGGGGTCCTTAGCGCTGCCACAGAGGCAGGAGAGGCTCCCACCACTGCCACTGCGCTTGCCACTGTGAGCCCGGCTTCTGACTGAGTGGCTCTGCCTTGCAGGTGGGAGAGGCTACCGCCACCACCACTGCACTCCTCAGCTGTGAGCCCGGCTTCTGGCTGAGCAGCGCTCCCCCTGTGAGAGTGCACTGACCACCAGGGAGCAGCTCCTGCGTTGAGCATCTGCCCCCTGGTGGTGAGTGTGTATCATAGTTACCGGTTGTTCCACGCATATTAGCCTTTTATTATATAGGATGAAAGAGGTCTTTGAAAACATAAAGTTTATTTTAGGCAAAAACCTTGCTATCTCAAAAAGGTACCATTTTTTTCTCCTATTGACTGGAGAAAATTAAAAAGATTTAAAAACTCAGTGTGAGCAGGGGTATGGAAAACATGACCCTCATGGACTTTGCTGGGGATCAGGATGAGGTGGGAGGGTGGTGGTAATAAATTGGTAGACTTTACAGAGGGCACTTTAGCCATATGTATCAATATTTAAAACGTGTATAATATTTGACTCAGTACCTGTATGTCTAAAAAATAAATGAGTAAGTATACAACAATGTAAGTACAGGGTTGATCAACGCATCATTAACTATTATCTCTTAGGAACAAGCTAAATTTCTGTTGTCAAAGGAGTGATTAAATAAATTATGTTGCCTCAAACAATGGCATGTTAGATAGCCAGTAAAATAATCATGTATGATTATGCATGTCTTTTACAAGCATGTGTAGAGATGTACAAAACACTGTTGCATTAAAAAGACCATCATATATAGTATAAACCAATTTACTTAAAGATTTGTATGTAAATACTTATTTTACAGATAAATTCCTAAAAGTATGTTCACCAAAATACTAATGGCAGTCATTTCTGGGTGGTAGAAGTTGGATGTTTACTTATGTCATTATGTTGTTTTATACCGATGGAAGGTTTTTCTCATTATTATAACAACAAAATACAACACCTTTTCATTTAAGAAAAGTAAGTGTTGCTATGTTACCAGAAGTGACTTCAAATCTCTTCAACTCCCTATTTAAAAAAACAAAGCTTTCCCTAAATGTTGTAGATATAATCACCAAACAGCTTATGGATTTCCACCTGCTAGATCTCCTCAGTAGCATGCCCTCAAACAAGAAGATAATGAGAATTTAAATGATTTTATTCAAACAGCCCACCTTTCTGGCATCCACCTAAGGACCCCAGGTGCCATGAACTGAAACCCTCCTAAGCAATCTCCCTCTTACATCTTAAGAAAACAGGCTGTGGAGCGAAATTAAAAATAATAAGCCCTGGCTGATTTTGCTCAGTGGTTAGAGCATCGGCCCAGGGACTTAAAGGTCTCAAGTTCGATTCCTGGTCAAGGGCACATACCTCAGTTGCAGGTTCCCGGCCCAGATAGGGGCACCATGCGGGAGGCAACCAATCGATGTATCTCTCTCATGTGGATGTTTCTCTGCCTCTCTCTCCACCTCCTCCCTCCCTTCCACTCTCTCTAGAAATCAATGGAAAAAATATCCTCAGGTGAGGATTAAAAAACAAAACAAACAAAAAACAATAAGAGAGAATGTTTTTTTAAAAAAATTAAATCATAAAAAAACTTACCTCAGTCAAATATTTAATTATATTCTTGTCTTACATTCTCTTTATTAGCACCTTTATTGTGAACCTGGAAAAGGGGGGGAAAAAGTGAAAATTACTTTTTATTGAACACTTACTTACATGCCAGACAGGTGGTCAAATAAAGCCTCCTGGAGAACATGAAGTCTGAGATAAATTGGAAAAAACAAAATGGAAGTTACTAAAGTGGGATTGTTGGGAAAGAAAGTTGAGACTTGCAAGTATAATTAAATAACTTTCCCTAAAATTTTCAAGGAGCTACATAAATGACTATACTATTGAACAAATTGTCTTAAAGATCTGAAGCAGGTGAAAAGTTGGGTTGCTAGACTCAGAACACCTGCACTGAATCCCAGCTCTCCACTTCCTAGCTTGTGTAATCTTCAGCAAGTCCCCAAGCCTGTGTGCCTCATTTTCCCCATCCTATATAATAAAAGCGTAATATACCAATTGTCCCCTCCACCGGGATTCGACCAGGGGGTGGGGCCTGCCATGCACTGGGCCTCTAGTATGTATAATAACAATATCCAACTCAAAACTGTGGAGGATTATATAAAGTAATCCACATCAAGACTTTATAACAGTTTCTGGAATGTAACAAATGTTCAATAAATGTTAATTATTGCTTTTATTATTATACTAAACTCTAGTATACTCTAGTAACTAGAGGCCCAGTGCACGAATTCATGCATGGGTGGGGTCCGGCTGGCCTGGCCCCAATCAGGGCAGATTGCGCCAGGCCTGTCGGGAGGAGGAGACAGCGGGTGGTTT